ACATAAATATTATTAATTTTTATGTTTCTAAGCATAAATTATTTTTTTAAGTGAAAAAATGCATTTTAAACTCGGTCTAGGCCAACTTTCTTTTCGTGTATTTTAAAACAAGGCTCCTCATTAACTTCTCATTTGCATACAGAAATTCCCCTTGTGACGTCAGAAGGGGAAGTCGCATGGCAGCTTGCATTGCCGATACGTGTAAATAAGGCAAATTTCTTGTGCTGTTTTCTCATCTTTGACTAAATTTTCACTTATGTACTTGTTTGTCGAGTAAGAATGGACCATAATGAACACATACTATCAAGTGTGTTGCATGGGGTCGAGTCAGATGCGAAATATGTCCGGTCTGGTGTAGCTGGTCACCGTGGTCATCACCGGAGCACGTTTGTACACTGACGCTGGACTCCTGCACTTCTAAACATTAAATTATAGTGATCAATAAAATAAAGAAATAATAAAAAAAAAACGACAAATCACAGTTACTAAATAAATGATAGCCGCGTGGAAATAAATTTGTTGTAATGGGTCAACGCGTCGGGTCATGACTGGGACAAGTGCGTGAATGGCAGCGTTTACTTGGATAACAAAAATAATTAAGAGCAGCTCACAAACAGACAAATTAAGAGTCGATTTAGCATGCTTTTCATAATTATGACATATTACAAAAATACTTATTGGAAACACATTGATAGCCCAAACCTGGATTCTTATTCCATAAATTATTACGCAGATCAAGCTGCAAGTAAAGGCAACAAAGGTGTGAATTTGACATTCAACACCAATCACCGAACAATTCTGACACTTTTAGACTACGAAAATGAAAACAGCCTGAGGGCTACGTAATTTCCTGTTTGTCCGACGCTTCGTTTTTGTTTCATTATCAAAATTACTGCTACCTTTTACCTCAGACTGTATTACTAGTCTGAGCTTTTACATAACACGGATGGTCTCTATAAAGCGATAATCAGGATCGCAAAAAAAGTCAAATCATTTGAAACGTCTCTCTTCCTTCTGAAATCCGCCTCAACGATCATGGGCTGGCGGGGAATCTATTTTGCGCCAGGTTTAAGTTGTCGGCGTTTCTCGTTAAAACCTAGTTGCTTTGTCATAGACAAAGACAGTTGTTTCGAAAAAAAGAATCTGAGGTGAAGTGGACACTACATATGATGCTATAAGGAGGAAGTCCATCCCAACCTTTTCTCGTTATTTTTACGGCTTTCGTCAACCGATACTTACACTATAGCACTTGGTGGTAGCACTTGGTGGCGCACTTTCGGCGAAAGTCTGAACTCAGGAAACAGTTGACCGTTTCAGGATAGGTGGGCGTGGCTACAGCACGGGAAATATCTCAAATTTACTTGGATAAGAGTAATCATTTTCAGCAAAAAAAATATCAATAACTGCCCATTTCAGTGGAGCACATATCTAAAATGGGAAACGTGCGGGTGGGCAATTTGTAAACAATTATGATTTAGTGTTTTTAAACGACAATTGGACATTAGGCAGTCATATTGCATCAAACTACAAAAAAAATAATGTTCATGTATCTATTGGTATCCTGTCTTTGTACAAAATTTAAACAGAAATGTTCATTGGATTCATTGGAAAGTAGGCATGGGTATCATGAAAAACAAAATGGCCACCAGTCAGCCATATTAGTTTGAATCACAGAAAAAATATGACATGCAACTATAACCCAATATGTATGGTCATCATACCAACTTTGATCCAAATTGGAGAGTCATCTCTGAGAAACAGCACCGGACATGTAAAAATGACGATTTATAGTGCTTTTACATGAAATTTGGGCATCAGTCAGCCATATTGAATCGAATCACAAAAATAATAATGGTGTAGTTGTATCTCTTGGTATACTATCTTTGTACAAAATTTAAACAGAAATGTACATGGCATTCAAGAGAAAATAGCATGGGTACCATGAAAAACAAAATGGCCACCAGTCGGCCATATTTGTTTGAATCACGGAAAAAGTATGACGTGCAATCGGCCCAGTCATCTTCGAGAAACTGCTGCGGACACGTTTAGGTATCAGAAATAGCAAATTTTACATCCATTTTTGCATATGTAAGACATTATGTATTGTCTTCATGTAAAGTTTGAAAGAAATCCATCAATGGGTGTCCGAGATATAGCTCCGGATGGATGGACAGACAGACAGATGGACGGACAGACGGACAGACGGACGGACGGACGGACGGACGGACAGACGGACCGAACTATTACGTTTTGAATAGGATTATCAGACCAATATATCTGTACATCTACGACATGATGTACAATGAATATTCAAAATTTTAACATAATCAGTCAAAGCAATGGCACTAGAATCAGATTCATTAAAACAAAATGGCCAGCCATTTTGAATCTTATCTGAAAAACAAAAGGATTTGCATCAAGGTCCCATAATGTCTAATGTAAGTTTGAACAAAATCCATCTGCAAACAGCCGAGAAATGCTTGATTGTGATGATAAACAAAAACAGCCGCCATTCGGCCATCTTGAATCAGATCATGAAACAAATTGATGTGCATATGTACACTATTATGTATGATGTATGTGAGAAGTTTGATTGTGATTTGTCCAGGCATGGCACAAGATTCAAAACACAAGTCCCCGTTTTCGGACTGCGTCTGAACGGAGACTAACAATATCTAACATATTAAGTTCATATTTTAGCATACAAAAAATATTATTTATTATGACCATAGAAAAACCACTGCAATTCACTTTAGTACATACACTACTAATAGAGCAAATATGGTACTTTAACTTATCTCCAACTTTATTACCCATATAGTTATAGTTGAATTGTCTACATTGTGAACTCATTGTGATGCAAACAGCTATAATACATGGTATTTTAATATCAATGCTCTTCGTTTGTTCGCTCGCTTGTTTGTGTGTGCGAGAGAGAGAGAAAATAAATTCCATTATACAGAAACAATAGAATTTTTTTTCTTCTTTTTCTTTTTTATTATTTTTTTATATTTTTTTTGTGCAAGGCGACAGTTCCGGACATTGAGTGTCACTGTCGTCTCTCCTGACTTTTTTTTCTGTATGTGCAAATTGCAAGTGCTAGTATATTCATGTTTGGGACTACATGACATCATGCTAATTCCTACCACACTCAATCACATGCATGTACACCATCCATGCATGAAAAGTAAATTACTAAAAATATTACAAAATACAGTTTTTCTACCCCCTTCTGTATAAAGAGATGTTTTCTTTGCCAATGCCTTAACTACCTATTTACTGATGAAATTCTCCACTTATCAAGATTGTGTAATGGCAAATGTTGGCAATACAGAAAGCATATACACAAGTGACATACATTGTACATTTTTCACATGCATAAACGGTGTCAGACGGTATTCACTCATTGATACACAGATCAAGGCTTTTGAAATGTCATAGTTCAGTTTGGTTAGAGCAAAGACAAAAAAAAACCAGCCATTCACATTATATTAACACTGTCAGTATGACATAGGCATAGGTTACCCGGGGTAATTTCACTACAAACATAATGAACATAGGACAGAATAGAGTTTCATTTTTTAAGACGATATACCCTTTATTGATAGTATGACTTTCTTGAGTTGCAGCTGTGGCCAACTACTGGCGCATAAATTTCTCAGGAACAGACAAAATTGTAAAAAGTCTGTTTGGAACAAACATGTTTCACTGCTATTAAAATCTCAAAACAAACAGCTCTATTAGAATACAAAGAGGCTGTTTATGACGAAACCTGTTTTTAGTAGAATAAACAAGGCAATGTCTCGTCTCTATTGTACACATGTCTAGAAAATATACTGAAACAATATAGAAATTTAGATAGAGAAATTCCTAATACTTCACGATTTTCAAAAATTATAGTTTTGATTATTAATTTAATTTGTTTATATAATTAAACCAACCACTTCACAGTGGGCGTCTTTCACAGTGAAGTTCATAATATTATCTGTTTACAATTTTATAGACTAAAAATTATAACTACTTTGGCAATTAAAACTACCAATTATATATGTAGCAGCATTTGGGCAATTTTTAACAAATCCAAAATCATTATGGATAATTTCGCTTGTTTTGCATGTGTACAATGTTGGTTTTGATAATTTTATTATGAGTGTACAAATTGTACACAAATGCCAATCAAACATTAGTAAAAGAATTTATTGTATAACCTGGACAAGAAAAAGAATAATTTCATTTTCCATAAATACCACGGGTAAGCATTTTTCCTATCCCTGATGCATGAATTCCAGTACTGTAATTGCGATTTAAAGTTCACAACTGGCATTATCTCTGTCACACTGTGCATCACGTCAATACATAGTTTATATTTGCAACACCACCCTTACTATGGTTGTGAAAGCTGTTGCTAAACAACATTCAGGGAACCAATTACACTCCGACTGATATCATAGATTCAGGGTATTTAAATTAGAATTTTTTTCTGCTGTTTCCACTTGAGGGGAAAATTAAACAAAACTGAATTCAGAAATATTACACCCCAGCCCCAACCAACTGTCATGTTTAACATTACGGTAATACACTGTATGGAAAACTCGCCATTAATAATATTACTGGAAACAGTAAAGCATTGGCATATAAATGCAATTTCGTGATTAAATGAAAGCACATTTATTTGTGATTTGAAGTACGTGTATCATGGTTTTGGCGTTCTAACACGGGCCCAAAGCAGAATAAATCTAGTGTTAGGGTTTCAGCTGCTGTGTACGCTATTATCGACATTTTTTACACAAAGCCCGTGACAGAAATTCAACCCAGAAAATTATGTCCTATCGTTGAGGGGTCTTCAACTCCAAATGGTCCGAACGACCCGTCTCAACTGTTAGCGTACGCGTACGTGATCCCATTATCCGACCCATTATAAACGTCCGAGCTTGCGGTTAGGATATGACCCACATTCAGTATCAAATATTTCATTATTACATCACAGGCCGTGATCTTACCTTGTTTACTGCAGAGCTGTGCTCGTGGGTATTTCTATCTGACAGACTAGCTCACGCTTCCGTCCGAAAGTTTGTTCCAAAATGTGACAATCAGTACGTCGGGTCAGTGACACGTTAACCTCGCCAAGGTTGACTGACCCCGACAAACGACGTTTACGAGAACCAGTTACAATAAAACAATATTTCACTGACACAACACCGCGTATGAACACGAGGAGACTCACGTAAACCAAACCGCTCACCAATGAAGTAGTTTTGCTATTGCATTTTACGTAAACCTCCACCACCAACAGTGTACTGACTTCAGTGCCTTTAAGTGCAGACGTGCAGGCAGATGGATCCGGCGGGTTATACCATTTATCTTTATTGCATGGGGGTTACAGCTAATAAATTAAAATATATATCAAAGATATTAGGACGCCTTTTGTAAATTATTTTCGTCTTTCGTGTGGTTATCACAATACGTCAAGCTATTGATAAACAGCAATATGTTTTAAAGGACGACTATATACAAAATAATTTTCTTGATAATAAAAACCGCTAAACACCCTTTCCCCAGGTACTTTACTTCCCTTTTATGTCATTTATATAGTAACGACCAGCTGAAGGAAACAAAATGGCGTAACATTTGTCAGTGGTGTTTGTCGCGGTTCCAGTTCTGTTGTACCTACTAGGGAGGATCTTTGCTGTTATACTTTGTTCTGCTGTTTTTTGTTTTTGAAAATGGGGGAAGAGCAACCGAAGAGGTTCGCCCAGATTTCGAGGGAGTCCGTGAAGACTTATGCCGAGTCAGTTGGTATCGGCGATTTGTCGGAAGATGCGGCGGCGATGTTGGCGGAAGATGTATGTTATAGGCTTAGACAAGCAGCACAGGTAATTCGTAAACAAATATGAATTATTTTTTGCGACTGTGTGTTTTTATAAAATTCTATAGGAATATTTTCTGGGAGTTACTTTTGTTGTTCATCATGGAACTTACACTTAGCTAAACCTAAACGGGATGCGGTTTTCAACTTAGCGTTCGAAAGCGCCGCCTTTCTGTTTACAATTTGTTGGAGATACACGAGGTGGTACTATAGGCAATATATAATCATACTATGATGTCTATGGTGTTACTTTATAGGCATCTGATATTTACATTGTGCTGGCAGTGCATAGGACTAGTGGGAAGTTGTGAAACCAACTTTACTTTACAAAATTAATTGAAATTAATTAATTAATTAGTACATTGACAATGCTAAGTCCCTATTCTGTATTTAATCTAGTCAAGTCACACAAAATAACATACTAGTAACAGTTCCTACATGTATGAGTATAGTACAATCTCCCAGGCAGAGTTCTATTTCTACAAATATATCTTTGCCACTATGCGATCTTATGCTTGTCATTGATTGGTCGATGCGTCATAGAGATACTACTTTTAAAGAAGCCCATCAAAACATTTGCCATGCAGGTGTTCAATTTTCAAACCTGACTAAAGCATATGCGTTGTTTGTAGATTTTTGGCTGTTTTCAAATTGAGAAGCTCATGGCTCATGAGTGGCAATTGGACGAGTTAGCTGTCAATACCACAAAGTGCTTTGAGTTTCGTTTGTTTATATTTCTTCGCCTGGTGAATGACAAGCTGGTCAGCTTGATGAGCTGAGTAACACCTTAGGAACTGTTATTCCGTGATGAAATTATTTTCTTTTGGAAATTACAAATGTATAACTATTTCATTGTTTTCAAGTAGTGAGGAATCTGTATGTATATAAATAAAAACAAAATGGCCACCAGTCATTTTTGTTTGAACCTCTAACCCAATAAGCATAATCATGATACAAAGTTTGAATAAAATTGCCCTGTTTATCTCTGAGAAAAGGTTTTGAACATGTTTGAATATTGAGCAATTTTGAGAACCAAAATGGTCGCCAGTCAGCCATACTTGATCAAATGGTAATTAAAATAGATGTGTTTATGTAAGTCATCATACATGGTCTGTGTCTTAAGTTTGAATGTGATCAGTCAAAGCATGTCTGAGAAATGGTTTCGGATGAACGAAACAAAAATTTATAGTCTGAAATTTTAAACTTTAAATTTTAAGTGTTAGCTGTTGCATAATGGAGGTTGATGTTATCACACACTGTCTGTAGTTCGTATCCTTGCAATAACCTTTTTATTGTCATAAATCGATCTTCTTGTTATATTCAATAAAAATACATATTTGCATGGTTTTTCTACCTCCTCCATTGAATTGCTAATGGATAAACTATTAGGAAATAATCCATCATCGTATTGAATTTTTTCACAGGCTAGCACTCAATATATGAAACATTCAAAGAGAAGGAAAATGACTAGTGAGGATTTCAACAGGGCGTTGAAATGGATGGACGTGGAGGTAGGAATCTGCAAACCTTGTTTATTGCTAATTGGAGTTGATTATTAACATTCCTGTTTTCTCTTAGAAGCACGTTATTACAAATGTTACATAATCATGTTGTGAAAACACAAGTTTGACTCATAACTTACACTGGAGCTCTGATTCTGCTAAAACCACCAGGGAGGTTAAATATTTTACTTCCATGACCATACTAACTTAAAACACAACAAAAATGGGCAAAGTATTCACATGTTTCTCCTCGGAGAATTTATAGCACAAGGCCCTTCTAATATATCATTTCGGATAAACAGTACTATAAGTACTCATGAGTACTTAAGGTAGCGGGACTATTATTTGCATACTTGTTTTCATCTTCTAATTGTGACTAAATGACTACAAATAGACCCGGGAAAGTATATATTTTTAGAATCGCCAGACTTCAAGCTTTTCACAAGTGTATTTTGCATGCCGGTATCTGCATTCTACGACACGTTACTCAATCAAAGGTGAAAAATTACTTTTTCTGTAAAAAAAATAATTACGCATTTATGCTGGCGATAAGAAGTATTTTTTTCACTTTTCCTAGTTGTTCAATAGTCTGGTAAATTGAATGTGTCTGGTCAGTTTTATTCAAGCAACGCGTTTTAAAAAATAGTGTGCTGAATTTAAATCACTGTTTTAGTCGCATTGCCCCCAACTCAAACCACAACTCGTTGGTAAATAATCGATGAAATAGTTTGTCTGGACACATTCAAGTTCCTCTCACTGTCACCTTAAAGCTGTGAAAATTTGGTGTTAATCCGACGACAATAAGTATACGTTATTTTTTGTTAAAGACCTTGTATTTTGAAAAACATAAACTCCTAGAAAACGTCCATGAAGTAACAGCAAAGATGTTCAAACTTGTTTATCGGCACAATCAATTTGTTTTCCCATCAAGGTCTGTTTTAACATGTGTAGGGACATCCAAATGTGTAAGGCTATTGGAAACCCAAAAAAATAAAGGAATGGGGTAGCTATAATTGGATAAATCGGCAATGAAAACACCATAATCAATGATTTTTTCAGTGGCTGTGTGACTTGTGTCTGACACATTCATATGCAAATGACTAATCTGTGAAACAAATTGGGGCGGAGACAAACCACTCAAATGTTTGGAAACACTAATTGTGCGTCAGATAGCTACTGATAACACATCCTAACATTGCTTTTTCTTGAGTTTATCTTTGAAACTTATAGGCACACAGATTAAACCTGTGTTGTTGATTTTGGAAAACACTACTGAAGCTGCCTTGCTTCCCTTCAGAAAATCTACATTTTAACCAACTTACATGACATTCTATGTTATGTTGACTTTATCACATGAAAGTTTATAGTGCATTTCATCAATTAATAAATAAATGTGAAAATCGTAATTTTCAACACAAATAATAGTCTCGCTACCTTAAACGGCATGAGTTTTTTTAAAATCAAGAAATAGTGGTTTTTAAAAGATAAATCAAGCAGTTGAAGAATAATTTAACATTGTTTACAGCGATAACAGCTCATTATTGAAACGAAGCTTACCCTTTCACTCTAGCACAATAAACATG